CCATCACTAAACGAAAACTAGTTTTGTATCTAAAGAACTAAAGCGTTATCCATGCCTTTCCCACCTCTCAGCTGGACTACTGCAATTCCCTGTGTGTAGGATTGCCCAATTGCACTTTCTTTCATTTACAGATGGTTCAAAGCGCAGCTGCTCATCTCATAAGAGTGAGCAAAGCTGTTTTAGCTAAGCTGCCCTGGCAACCTGCAAAGTTTTAAATATATTTAAACATTATTTGTTTTAAAGCCCTCTGTGGATTAGCTCAACAAATATATTACAGATCTTTTAACTCCACATCACGTCACTGAGGTCATCATCACAATAACTTCTCTTGGTGTCCTTTTCTCACATAAAAACTAAAAACGACCAAAACTTTGCAAATAGGCTCTCGAACTGTCTGCCACTTCTATTTATTTATTTTATTTATTTTTTAACTGTTGTCTGACATATTTCTCAATTATAAATTTTAATATGTTCCCTGTCTGTTATGCAAGCTGTGTTTGTAATTGTAAAACACTTTAAAATGTGCCATATACATAAAGTGACCTGACTGGACAATACCTAAATCATTAGGATTATAAACTCAAAATTAAGGAAAGTGAGATTATTACAGCAAAAGTTTACTCATAAACACCTAAATAAGACAAGTCCAACTCACATATATAGATCCCAGTTGTGATCTGTCAGAGTCAAACATCTGATAGTAGTGCTGCACAAAGCTGGATCCTATCTGCTCCCACAAAGGCTGGTCCACCATCCTGAATCACCCTGCAACTCACACTGAGCGTGTGGGAGAGAGCGAATCAGACAAACGTAATGAGATAAGAAAAGGGGCAATTCATAGAAAAAACAACAACAACAGCACCACCAGCAGCAGCAGCCTCCCACTTATATCAAAACTAATTTATAGTCACCAGATGTCAACATAAGCTTCAGATTTCTGAAAAAACTCTTGGACAGCCCTCACTACCATAATTCAAGACAGTATTCTGGGATGTTTTATAGAATCAAGCTCTTAAAGCAGCAAACAGTACAATAAACTGTACAGTACACACATTGTTTTGATTTCTGTTTTTTTTGTTGTTTTTTTTAAAGAAAAATATGTTTTTAAAGACTCCAAAAAAATAGCATATAGATCCCATTTCATTGAGAAAAATAAATGTTAAAATTACTTAACTGAATAAGCCAAAGTATATTTTAGTGCAACGGATCCCTCCGCTCGGGTGACACTGACAGCCCAAGTCATGTGCTCCCACATAACGATACACGGCTGCTACTGGAACAATCCGACCGCTCTGCACATTAGCAGTAGACTGCGAGCAGCATACCCCGAATTGCGACCACACATAAGTTGTTCAGGGCCCCCGTAAATATAGTCAGAAGTAAAGGGGGATTGAGGAAATATGAGCAAGTAACGTTAATGTACGGAAAAGCTAATTTTTAACTACTTAACTCTAGCTAACTAGCTACTGCTAGCTTGTGTCATGTTTGCTAATGTTGACTCAGCCTGTGCTAGCACAGACAGTTCACATACGTAGCATGTCTCCTCGCCAGCCAATGTTAGGCGTCAGATAAATTATATTTCCAGGCGTTAGCTGATCGGCCAGCTGGTAGTGGCCTGTTCACCAGTTGCTAAAAATACCCCGTCTGCTTTGAGTGTTCATACCTCTTGCGGGCCCGCGCGTACAGCTCTGGAACACCGAAGCAGCTACTCTACATAGGCGTGTCCACCGTTAGCCCCAAACCGGCCAATAGCAACCGATTTAACAACTTATACCGCCTCGGGCTTTTTCGAATGTCAGATTAAACTAGTGCTTTTTGTTTTCGAACATGTTTCCATTCACTATTTTGTAAGGGGGCACCATAAAAACTAGTAATAAAAACTTACCTCTTACGCCGAGGCCGGCTGCACGATCGCACAGTGCAATGTCTGCTCCGCTACGAGGGTACGTACAAAAAGCCGTAAAAGGCCCGATGCATTATGGGGATTGTAGTATGCTCAATTTTCTTGTCTGTCGCCTTTTACATAATACAGCCACATTCTGATACATACTATATTCAGAAGTGTGTCATGTCATTTATGATTGTGTAAACTGCTTGCTTTTATGTTGCTTTTATTATTCTACTGTGTACAGTGTCTTTGAGTGTTCTGAAAGGCGCTTTCAAATAAAATGTATTATGATTATTATTATGATTATTATTATGATTATTATTATTATGTCCAAATCACACGTTTTGATGATTTCTGAAGTGAAAAAACCAAGAAAAACCCATGGAGTAAGAGACAATAAAAATGGTAAGTCAAAAATGGTTTTATTTTATTTGATGCACAAAGATTAAATGTGCTACAGTCACGACTGTCCAGCAAGAACACTTACATTACATTACATTTGCTTTTAAAATTACATCAAATTGCAGCACAAAACAGATTTAGTCATTTGTAACTTGTGCCTTCATTGTTCTCTTAGGTTAGGTTGCTGAGTCCACCAGACTGAGAAAAAAGGCATAAGCAAGGCTTTTTACCCAAACACGATTTATTTCTGCAGTCAACAGCAGTAAAGACCACCGCAAATAGATCCACAAACCGACACACCCTGGTTTGGTAAAAACATCAATTCAATTCAAAATTTATTTGTATAGCACATTTAAAAACAACAGAGTTGACCAAAGTGCTTCACAATCGGTTAAAAACACTTGTTTTAAACCGATTGTGATAGAGAAACAAATATAAATAAATTAGAAACAAATACAGGTAAATAAGAAGACAGTGAATTAACAATAAAAACATAAAACAGGCCTGATGGTACTCATACTGAACTTGAATTAAAAGCCAAAGTAAAAAAGTGAGTTTTAAGATGCGATTTAAAAGACTGAATAGACGAAGTACGAATCTCCTCTGGCAGATTATTCCAGAGTCTGGGTGCTGCTACTGCGAAGGCCCGATCTCTATGCTTCAATTGAGACCTTGGTTGTGCTAAGAGCATCTGGCTAGAAGATCTCAGTGCTCTTTGGGAGTCATACATGTTGAGGAGTTCATTGAAATAACTAGGCGCCATATTATTTAAAACTTTAAAAGTAAGTACACGAATCTTAAAATCAATACGATATTTTACAGGGAGCCAGTGTAAATTTGCTAAAACTGGAGTGATGTGTTCCTACATTCTAACACCTGTTAAAAGACGTGCAGCGGCATTTTGGACTAACTGCAAGCGATGAAGAAGTGAGTGTTGAAGACCCAAATAGAGAGAATTGCAGTAGTCCAGTCTAGAGATGATGAAGGCATGAATAAGTGTTTCTAGGTCTCTTAGGAAGATAAGGCTTAGCTTTGGCAATTTCACGTAACCAATAAAAACTTGTTTTCACAACTGTGGACACTTGCTTCTCTAATTTAGAGGAGCTATCTAAAAACACTCTGAGATTCCTTACAGTGTGAGAAAGATGAGAAGCAAGAGGACTGAGGGTATCAGTTAACTTGTTCAAAGGGGCATGAGTTCCAAAAACCATAACTTCAGTCATATTTTCATTTAGTGTAAGAAAATTCTGTGTTAACCAGTCTTTAACATCATGTAAACAGTTAAGCAAAGGCTGCAGTGGGACAGAGACACCCAGTTTCAAAGGGAAGTAAATTTGGATGTCATGAGCATAACAATGAAAGGGAATGTTGTATTTCCTAAAAATAGATCCCAAAGGCAGCATGTATAAGGAGAACAGAGTTGGACCCAAAACAGACCCCCGTGGCACACCACAACACATAGGGGCAGAGGAAGAGGAGTATTGCCCAATTTTAATAGAAAATGACCTCTCTGATAAATATGATTTAAAACAAGATAAAACCGTACCTTTTAGACCAACTATGTGTTCAACTGTGTCAAAGGCGGCAGTCAAATCTAAAAGGAGTAAAACAACAGAGCAACCTGAGTCTACAGTTAAAAGAAGAGCATTAAAAACTCGTAAAAGCGCAGTCTCAGTACTTCAGTACTGTGACGAGATTTAAAACCAGACTGGAACACTTCACAAATGCCCCGAGTGTGTAAAAAGGTCTGAAGTTGCTTGAAAACAACTTTTTCCAAAATTTTGGACATAAAAGACAGTTTAGAAATTGGCCTGAAGTTAGAAAGCACATTTGGATCAAGATTTTTCTTCTTAATAATGGGTTGCACAACAGCATGTTTGAAAACAGCTGGTACACAACCTGATGACACTGAAGTATTTCAAATAAAATACCAGGCCCAATGACATGAAGAGTTTCTTTAAGGAGGAGAGAAGGAAGAATATCTTGTGGGGAATTAGACTGTCTTAAGTGATCAAGTACTTCCTTCAATGCAGAAAAGGTTAAAAACTGCTGAAAAACAACCGAGGTGAATCTAGGTCTAACACTGCCTGTGAATGCAGTGCAGTTAGTGATTCAAAAACTTTTCACAATGTGCAAAGAAATCATAGGAACAGTGGCACAGGGGTTAATCACAGAATTAAAAATATTAAAAAGAACTCGGGGCTTATGACAGTTGGTAGAAATTACACCGGATAGGAAAGCAGATTTTGCAGCTTTAACAGTTTTCTGATATTTTGTTAAGCAGTCATGCAGGATGCCCAAAGACACCTGGAGCTTGTCTTTTTTCCATTTTTTCTCTGCACATCGGCGTTCGCGTCTGAGAGCGCAGGTGGTTTCATTCAGCCAAGCGGGTGGTTTTATCAGACCTACATTGCACAAAATAGGTTTAGATAGATAGACCTTATTTGTACAGTCAATCAAAAGGCATTTAAATGCACACTTGATGAATACCACTGACACAGAAATAAATAAATGTATTTTCCTACTATTTTAGTTAATTTCTATCTATCTATCTATCTATCTATCTATCTATCTATCTATCTATCTATCTATCTATCTATCTATCTATCTATCTATCTATCTATCTATCTATCT